GGGTATGAAAGGTGATATTTAGGGGTCTGGTTACAGACGGGTAGTCTTAGGCTTAGCCGTCTGGTTACAGACGGGTAGTCTTAGGCTTAGCCGTCTGGGTACAGACGGGTAGTGTTAGGCTTCGGCTTAGGGTTCCCTGTTTGATGCGTAAACCCTAAACCCTAAACCCTAAACCCTAAACCCTAAACCCTAAACCCTAAACCCTAAACCGTAAAGGACAGACTGCTGGTAATCGATGTGGCAAATGGCGTTCAGTTTGCTGGGCGGTTGCAGCCGGAGCTTCTCTCAACGAAGCCAGCCGCGCACAGCGACTTGAGGAAGGTGCGTCACTTGAGTGCATTGGAGCATGCCGACGTTCGCTTGCTCTTCGACATGCAGCCGAGCTTTCATTGTGCTCTCTCACACCAGACAATCGCTTGGGGTGCCTTCTTGGAGCGATTTCCGGTGCCGCGACAGTCATCACCTTCGCATTTCAGACATGTGTTGGATGGGAAGTCGTTTCCAGGTGTTGGGGCAGTGCAGTTTCCGGAGGCGGGAGATACTTTGCCTAACCAGCTGGCACTTGGGCAGTCGCAGCCACAGGCTCAGGGCCACCAACTTGCTTCAATCGCCGGCAGGCGTGGTGACAGTGACAGGGAGACCCCGATCTCTGGAACGACACCAACGCGGGTAGAGAAACTACTGCAGCAGATCGTCCAAGCAGCCGAGACTGGCAATGTGGAATTGGTTCGCAACCGGTGCGCCGTGCTCGGGCAGGAGCTCATTGTGCCAAATGCGAAGGTGTCACGAGCCAAGGGAGGAGGACTCGCATATCGTGCAGACTTCATGCTTCATAGCGTCCTGCTTGCCGACCATGTGAGACTTGGCAGGTTTGACGACGGACGACTTATTTTTCGTTAATATGGTGTCATGCCAGATGTGTCTCAACGTTGTTCCGGGGCATAAGTTGCTGAGAGAGTTGTATATTGAATATGCTTGAATCTGTGCAGAGGAAAGACCCAGCCGAACTGGCCGAAGCTGTGAGATCGCAACCTGACCTTGGTTGGGCTGATTTTCGGGAACAGATTCCTTTAGGAACGTGGCCCAGGCAGGGGTTCACTTGGGTTCGTGCCGGTACTCAAGGCTTGAAACTTGAAGCGCTGTTTCTGTTTAATTAGAGCAACGCCAACATTATCAAGACAGCGATGCCAAGGGCACTGAAGATGTCCTTGTCTCCGACACTGTCGGCGCATCTTCTGCAGCAGCAGCTGCCGGCCCCATCACGCTGGGCTCTGAATCGCTGGAGGCTTGAGCTGGATTATGCTTCCATGATCTTCTGCCGAAGATATCTGCTGTCGGTGGACACAGATTGGTTTGTCCACATTCGGGCGGATGCCTCTCCGCAAGGTGGGCGCGACTTCCTGGTCTGCGAATTGGACAGGTGCGTGATCCCACAGCGCGACGCACAAGGCCTGTCCGACTCGCAGCGTATCACGGAAGTCGAGATCAGCACCCGTCTTCTTCCTCTGGCTATAGTGGGTGCCAAGGCTGCGTCGGCCAGCCACAAAGCCCTGCTGCTGATGAAAAGTCTTTCTTTGGAAAGTCAGAGCCTTCAGGAGACGCTTCGCCGGACAGTAACGCTCCTGTTTGATTACGGAGCTGAAAGCGGCATATGGAAGCTCTCAGCAGCACCCTTCTTGGATTCAGCAGAAAAAGCACATTTTCACTCTCCTTTCGCCGTGGTGCCAGCAGCAGATCCACATGGGTTGCAGGAGTCCGAACTTTGCCGCTTGTTTCCACGAGCACTTCCTCTTGCGGATGGAGATCATGCCCTTCACCACGTGTCTGTCCTTATCAGAACGGTTCGATCGGTCATGAACTTGAGAATGTCGGGTGTCGGGAGTGTCTGGTCCGTCTAGTCTTCTAGACTCAAGTCTCACCGATACAAGTACTGTGCTTGGCTTTGCTCTAGGGTAGGCCCGCGTCCCCAAGGTGATGTCTGAGCTCCACACTTCATTTGTTGCCTGGGAGACGTTCAAGGAGACTGTCTCTGCCGTGGCCAAAGCATTTGGGACCTTTCATAAACTCGATAGGTTCCGGGACATTTGCATTCTGCAGAACGATGCCGTTCCGAAGGCGACGATGGTTAAACTTGCGACTCTTCTGTGCGACCGCAGCCTAGTGATCTTAAGCTTATAGGTTTGTTTCAATTTTCGGCACTATCGTCGTTTGATGATCTGATGTTCGGCAGGAGCACAAGAAACAGATGGCGAGTCTTTTCAAGACCATTTGCCCATCCTTCGTGGAGCACAGGTGGCAGTATCTGTTTGAGACATTGTCCTGGATCGCTCCAAGACAACAATGCTTGGCTTACTTGAAACTGGAAGAGCTATCAGGAGGACGCGACGACGGGGATGGTCAGGACGCTGCTCTCTTGAGCTCAAATCAACTCGAGTTGCTTGCTGGTTTGTGTGGAGACGCTGTCCACAATGTGGCCGCACTGAAATTCTGGGCGCTGACTGGGTTGGCTAGGCTGTTAGCAGATTGGGGAGCACGATTTAGCTGGAGCTTGCACAGCTGCCCATGCCATCCCCGCCGCTTGCGGCGATCAGAGCTGGATAAAGCGGACAAGGCCGCTCAGTCTGGCAAGGGCAAGACCGTGCCGTGCCAGATGGAAGGCCGCATGTGTGTGCCCTTGGCTGCCGGCCTTGCAGAGGTGGCGATACATCGCCTGAACGCCATCGGCATCCCCGCGCATGTGCAGCAGGCGCTCAGGCAACTGGAAGCAGCTGATGCTGGCGCAGCACGTGAGCTGATGGATGGTTTCAAGACTGCCGTGTCGCGCATATCCTTCCGCATGAAGCAAGCGTTCGGATATTGGAAGGAGTTGCCATGGGCCTTGCTTGTCATCATGCGGCCTTGGGTCGAGTACTTTTCTTCTGAGGAGGAAGCGCTGTCTTGCCAGAAGGAATGCCGTGAAATGGCACTGTTATTGCTCCGACAGCATGATGCTACAGTCAACAAGGCAGCGCTGGGCGCCGCTTGTCCTGTTTGTTTCGTTCCAGAGAGCCGCCGACATATGACAGACAGACAGACAGACGAAGACAGACAGGCAGACAGACAGAGAGACAGACAGAGAGACAGAGAGTGAGAGAGAGAGAAGCAGACATAGAGGTATAGAGCCAGAGAGACAGCGAG